CCTTATGCTTCCATTGAATTTCACATTGCTTTGGAATTCCGTTTTTGTCGTGTGAAATTTGATGGAAACTAGAGGCCTCGATCAGCTTAAACGAGATGGGATGAATGCATCTCACATGTATGATCTACAAGTAGGCTCGAAATCTACCTGCAAGCGAGAAATATCCAATCCCACCCTTAAATATGATATTGAAGAGATATGGCCCTTGTCTAAATTCACATCTCTCCTGTGACTCAAGGCAACTCGTGGCAGTCTGGCGTGGCGGTCAGCATGTCGAAGCCTTAGGGTGTACTGACGAAATCCCGATTCGAGTCCCGCTGGGGGTGGGGATGAGACCAGTTCAGGTGAGGTGGAAATGACAGCCCAGTCCAGCCTGTATGATACCAAATTTTGGGAAGTAGGGTTAAGTGAAATTTTATGGAAACGTGAAACCTACTCGTTTTATTGTGGGAAAATTTAAGGGCTCTTCATTCTTTTATGCGATTTTGGGTTATTAAAGCTATTTTGCTGGAATGTTTTGATTGACGCGGTCCCGAGGCGATTTAATTTCAATTCCGATTTCATCTGTCCCATGACGGAAATCAACGCAGTAGAGTTTCATTATTTTAAAAAAATTTTAGCTTGTGAATCATACCGACTTACTTGCCTTCTCTAATAACCGGCGACCATTTGTTCCTTCTCATTCTTCCGATCCAGATGCCATTGACTTGACGGTAGAGACTCCGGTCTACTCCGGTCAACAGCCCGTCATCTGGACGCCCAATTTCGCCGATCCAAGCAGCGAGCTGGGCCAGAGATTGCGAGTGAAGTTGTGTTCTCAGGTGCGTGTGGAGGCGGATAATTTTCACATTTGTGAGCCCTCTACCACAGCCCATTTCACCTGCTCCAGCCTAGGTTGAAATATTTATCATTGTTGAGCTCACTTCCGTTTCGAATGAAAATGTGTGTGATTCGAGCCCACCAAAAGATGACCACGGATTCATTTTGGCAAACTGTCGGTTGGCTGTAATGGATCGTTCGGTTTAACCTTGTCCTCGAGGCGATACTTTTCGATTCCGACCCTAGAACCTCTTTACCACACACTTTCACCCTGAATGGAAGTGAGCTCAACAATTCTAAGCCCAGCGAATTCTCGACACCCAACTGTTCTTGGAATATTTCTGTCTGGAGTATGGCCACACTAGAGAATGAGAAGTGATGTACAAAGATATTATTATTATTATTACACAGTCTTTTGTGGGACTGTTATTATGATTATTATTATTAGTATTATCATTATCATTCTTATTATACATACTCTTGTGGGATCGTCGACGAAGCAGAGTTATATTTGCTATTAAAATTGACTACATTATTTATTTTTCGCTTTTATATATTATTATTATTATTATTATCATTCTTATTACACATTCTATTGTGGGATCGTCGACGAAGCAAAGTTATATTTGCTATTACAATTGACTACATTATTTATTTTTTGCTTTTATATATTATTATTATTATTATCATTCTAATTATACATTCTCTTGTGGGATCGTCGACGAAGCAAAGTTATATTTGCTATTACAATTAATTACATTATTTATTTTTTGCTTGTATATATTATTATTATTATTATCATTCTTATTATACATTCTCCTGTGGGATCGTCGACGAAGCAAAGTTATATTTGCTATTACAATTGAATACATTATTTATTTTTCGCTTGTATATATTATTATTAATATTATCATTCTTATTATACATTCTCTTGTGAGATCGTCGACGAAACAAAGTC